GATAATTCTTTTGAATTCCTTATCAGAGAGTTCCAATGCTGCTTCTTCCTCAGGGATGTGTTCTGGGTCTGTATCCTGCTCCCTTGTTTCTACCATTTTATCCTGCTTCTTTGTGTGGACTGTGATGGTTTGTTGTCTCTGAGGCATCATGGCATTGTTGTATTTAGATCTTTGTTAACTGTTTATGAAGAGCAGCCAAGGGTGATTCAGGCTTTTCTTGGTGGTTTTTTATCATTGGCCCGTTGGTGGAGAAAGAGGTAGTGGCTGTCGTTCAATAAGTGAAGTTGCAGGAGGTGTGGGTGTAGTTGTGTCTTATTGGGACTGTTGTTGTCTCTCACTCAATCAGACTCAAATTACAATCGAATAACCTTCAAAAAACTTGTCAGTCTTCCAGGTCCCGAGTGTCCTTGGGGTTGCTGGAAAGCAGAACCTGTTCTTAAGCCCCAGGAATCTGCGAGAGCGCTGTCTCTTTAAATATCCAAAATAGTCAAACCGCTTTTTAAACCTACAAAATGGCGGCGTCCTCCGGACCAGCAAAAGTCCACAGCTCAGCCCACCTTTCTCTTCACCTTCTCCGTTTGTTCCCCAGCCACCGTGCACAGTCCTCTGTGCAGTCCCTGCCTAGCAGGGTGATTTTTAGGTTAATTCTTAAGTCCTACCACCACTCGGGAATCCCCAAGCTGTCTGTGCCGTCAGGATCGCTCTCGACCGCTGCCAGACCGTAGCTCTGTATGTCTCCTTTTTTGGTATTTTCATGCAATTTCTTCTGCTAGTTGGGGTTTTAGTCCACTTCTATATCCTTCCCTTCAAGACTCAGGGGTCCAGAATTATCTTCTGTGTCTGTGTTAATTGGTTTCCCTTTTCTTTGTTGAAGAGGGTCTGTACAGTCTTTCTGCCTAGTCCGCCATCTTGCTGGAACTCCCTTTTTCTTTTTTTATTAAAAAAGTTTTTCCCTCCAATTTTTTGTCTAAAGGAGGTTGAGTTCAGATAAGGAGACTCTAAAGTCTTTGAAGGCTTTATACTAATAGAGTGAGAGGTCAGTGAAAGTGTTTGTCCCAGGAAAGAGAAGCTGGGCATTAAGAGAAGGTGATAAATCTCATCATCTCATTTGCCAAATCTTTAGGTTCTATCTTTGTGATCTCGAGAATGTGCCACTTTCCACTTTTATCGCCATTGCTCTATTTGAGACTTTGTTTTTTCTTACCTGGTCTTCTTCTTACTAACCTTACAAGTAACATGGGCCAGTATAGATTCCTTTCCTAAATAAAGATTCTGTTCTTTTGAACACTCCTCCCCCTCCAGCCTTATCATAATTCTCAAATTTCCTTCCATTGCCTCCAGTGTGAAGATGACATAAGGAAAGGCTTTAGGGCCAGACAGACTTTGCTTCTAATCTCAGCTCTCTGACTTACTGTTACTAGCTATGTGACTTTGGCCATTTTCTTAACCTTTCTAAACATTGTTTTCGTCCTATACAAAATGGAAATAATGTCAGTCTTGTAGGACTTTTGAAGTGTTTGCAGATAGAGAATGTAAAATACCATGGCAGGTACTGGTATTATTAGGTGCAAAATTAAAAAAGCCCTATTTATGCACCCAGCTCACCTCTCTGCAATGTTTTCTATTCCCCTCTTACACTCAACCCAAATTGAATGATGTGGTTGTTCCTGAACATCTTCAGACCTTTTACTCATACTGTGTGTTCTCCCTCACTGTTTCCACCTGGGAATCTCTCCAGATTCTATTTAAATTTCACCATCTCAGGCAAGCCTTTCTGTTCTTATTGCCCATATTCTGCTCAGATAGCGTTTTGTGCTCTTCATAACTCATCTTTCCTATTATATTTTTTTTTGCCTTAGAAGCATTCTTCACTACCTCCTACAATGTAAACATATACACACACTCTCACACTCCCTCTGTCTCACTTTAATGTGAAATGCTGGATCATCAAGGAGACAAAAAAATAATCAGTCCATTAGCAAATACATTAGAAAATTAAAAAAGAACAAACTTACTGCCATTGAGTCATATCCAACTCATAGTGACCCTTCCTTGGGTTTCCGAGGTGGTATTACTATGGAAGTAGATTGCCCAGTCTTCCTTCCAAGGAGTGGCTGGTGGGTTTGAACTGCCAGCCTTCTGGTTAGCAGTCAGATGCCTTAGGCACCATACCACCAGAGCTCCTACATAAGCATTTTTTATGTGGCTTGCGCTGTGCTAGGTTTTGGATATTCTTTGGTGAACTATAGAGACCTGGAGCATGCCTTTATGAAACTTAGAATCTAATAATGATCATTGGTTTTTGATGAGCAATAGAAGCATTGACAGGCCTTTAAAATGTAAGCACCAGGGATTTGCTGGACTCAGGCCCTAGCACTTAGAAAGCCCTTTAGCAATACAGTGAGCTCCAAAAGTTGATAACTACTGGCCTAGTCAAACATTTCTTGGTTGCTTTATGTGGTAGACTTAACTGGGAAGGAAGCCGAGGAAGATTTTACTTAGGAGGTGACATTTAAAATGGATCTGGGATGCACACTGACATATTGAGGCGTAAAGGGATATAATAATGTATGTAACCTACTCACAAATGATTCAGAAAAAGAATATATGAAAATATAGAAAAATGTTAAATATGGTGAATCTGGGTAGAACATACACAGGAGGCCATTACTATTTCAACATTTCTGAAACTTAAATTATTTCAAGATAAAATAATTTGAAAGAATAAAGAACAAAAAATAAAATGGATCTACAAGTTGCATCAGATTTCAATAAACAGAGACCTAGTTTGGGGGCAGGTGAGAGGGATAAGTATTCCAGGCTGAAATGACAGGTGGAACATTGAATGAGCAAAGGCAAAGCAATTAGAAAGAAGTTTATAGTGTGAGATAATGGATGGTATGCAGTCAGTTGTGCCTCAGCTACAAATTGCAGTGGAAGAAATGAGTAGAGCCAGATTATGAAGCTCCATATATACTGTGCATGGAGTTTAGTCTTTATCCTTTAAACCAGTGGTTATCAATTAGGGTGCTTACATCCAGGGGGTGAGAAAAGTTATTTGTTGGTGTGTAAGAAGAAGGAGCTTTGGTAGCGTAGTGCCTAAGGCACTTGACTGCTAACCAGGAAGGCTGGCGGTTCAAACCCACCAGCCACTCCTCAGAAGAAAGGTTGGGCAATCAACTTCTGTAGTGATACTGCCTTGGAAACCCAAGGAGGGGTTGCTATGAGTTGGGTCTGACTTGATGGCACATAACAACAACAACAACAACAACCATATAAGAATAAAATTTTATGAGTTCTTTTTTGTATTTATGCTACATCCTTACCTTGTTTTTCTAAATTTCTATTTTACATGCTTTAAAATATATATGGTATCTTAGTATAGCAGTATATATTATATAATATATACATGGAGCGCTGGTGGCATAGTGCCTAAGGCATTTAACTGCTAACTAGAAGGCTGGCGGTTCCAACCCACCAGCCACTCCTCAGAAGGAAGGCTGGGCAATCTTCCATAGAGATACCATCTCGGAAACCCAAGGAGTCCTCAGAAGGAAGGTTAGGCAATCTACTTCCATAGTGACACTGCCTCGGAAACCCAAGGAAGGGTTGCTATGAGTCGGGTCCAACTCAATGGCACATAACAACAACAATATATATATACATACACAGAGTTACTCAAAAGTAGTTTTGCCATCAAAGTACAGAGACCACTCCTTTAGACATTAACCAGAGTGATAGTTTTAAATGTGAAAACTGATCATGTTTATTTCTATATGTGTGTATATATGAATCTGTATTTTCAACAATTTTTCTTTGTCCTTAAAATGAAGTCCAAATCTGAACGAAACTTTAACATGGCTTTGAAAGCTGTCTTCCATCTAGCTCCTTCAGGACATTCAAGACTCATCATTAGATTTGTGCTCCAGTATTGTCTATGGTCTAAGCCGAGCTCTGTTACTTACTTGAATCTACTACCTTTTCTTTACTCTGGATGATCCTTCTACATAGAATGGTCTCTCTCTTTTTCTGCTTTGTTCTTTCAACTGGTTAACTCCAATTTATTATTCAAGTCCTAGCTTAAGTATTACTTCTCCAGACAGGCCTTTATTAACCCTCTAGACCAGGTGGTAATCACTTTGAAAGGATTCTCACAGCTCTAAATTCTTTCATATTTTTAATGACTTGTTTGAAGTTCTGAGGACAGAGGCCATTTCTCTCTTGTTCACTCCTGTACCTCAGTAGAAATGCTTGGAACATTGTTAAGTGCTCAGTAAATATTGTTGAAAAGTGAATGAGGTGATCATTAGGGAAATACAAATCAAAACCAAAATGAAATGCCACTTCACATCCACTTTGTTGTTTGTTGTTGCTGGGTTCTGCTAATCAATTCCAACCCATAGTGAATCTGTATAACAGAGGGTTTCCTAGGCTGTGATCTTTATGCAAGCAGATTACCAGATCTTTTTTTCCCTTCAAGCCACTAGTGGGGTCAGACTTCCAATCTTTAAGTTAGCAGCTGAGTACTTAGCCATTGTGCCGCCAAGACTACTTTCACATCTGTTAGAATGGCTTTAATAAAAAAGACATTAGAACAAGATTTTATAAACTTTATTCACCCTAAAACTCAATGCTTTAAAGTATGTTAATTGTCTTCTCACGCCACTCTGGCCACCCAAATAATTTCATGCTAATTGGTGTTTTATTTGTTTGTTTTAATTTCAGTGGTAGGAATGGGATCCTGGTGCTTCCACATGACTCTGAAATATGAAATGCAGGTTAGTAATGACAAAATTGACTAAATGCTATTTCTTTTATTCAGAGGTACTTCAGATTTGAGAAAAGAGCAAATAGCCAGATAATGGTATGGAGACAAGGAAATGACAAAAAAAGTGAGGGAAATTTATAATCTTTGGAGTCTTTACTTCACGCTAAAGGATCCAAATTAAGTAAAGTCAAGAAGAAAGTAGATAAATTATCCATGGAGGAAACAAGTTGAGAGCAGTATAGATTTTTGACCACTTCTGTACAAGTATATACCATTTTAGATCAGTATTACAGCGTAGAGTTAAAAAGATATTGTTTACTAGAATCATATATTCTTATTCATAGATGCCCATATTCCTTCATGTTTTATAATTTTCATTTGAATGGTCTTTCTAGCTATCAAGGTTTTAGAACTATACAAGTATTTTTATCAACTGTCTTTGCTCTAAGGAGGTCATATGTCTTTTCAGTTCCTCATCACTAACTCATAAGCTTCTATAACATATGTTCATATAGTGTGAACATATGTAATATAATTTAAAATTTTCTGGTAGCCACATTATGTAATTTTTAATTTTCTAGTAGGAAAGTAAAAAGAAGTAGATGGGATTAATTTAATATTAAACCCCCAAACCAAAACCTATTGCTGTTGAGTTGATTCTGTCTCATAGTGACCCTGTAGGACAGAGTAGCCTCATAGGGTTTTTCAAGGCTATAAATCTTTATGGAAACAGACTGCCACATCTCTCTCCCAAGAGCAATTTGAGGGTTCAAACCACCAACCTTTCACTTGGCTGCCACTTTAGCCACTGTACCATCAGGGCTCCTTATTATTAAGCCCAGTATTTTCAAAATATCACTTCAACATAAATCAGTATAAAAATTAATAATGAAATATTTTAAATGCATCTTCACATAAAGTCTTTGAAATTCAGTGTTTATTTTGTGCCTACAACACACCATAATTTGGATTAGGCTTGTTTTAAGTTCTCAATTGCTATGTGGTTTAATGACCGCTATATTGGACAGTGCTACGCTAGAAAGAGCTCTATATACAACCATCTATGAATTATTAATTACAGCTATATTGAACATATAAGGATTAATTCTTTGGATTGAATGTGACATTCAACATATTTCTAATAAAGTATCATGTGTACTATGTGTGCTACGCCTGACTGTGAGAATACATGAATGAATGCAACACTGCTCTGACCATCATCAAGCATACAACATACATATTCTCACACATTCTGGCTGGGAAAACAGGCTTATATACAGTGATATAATAAGAAAATTATTTTTAAAAGAAATACAGATAATCTGTGGCAACATGATGGAGCTTAGAAGAATCTATAAAAGTGAAGTCTTTCACATTTGAACAGAATCTGAAGGAATTAGTTCATACTTTTTAGGCAGTGAAAGGATGAAAGAACATACCAGGTTTGCCCTATGACATAAGCAAAGGTAGGCATTTATTATAATTTGTGGTAAATCAACACTATTGTAGCTTTAAAAATGGGTAAAAATGAGTGGGAGGGATAAATAAATAAACTTTGAAAAATGGGTGAGGAGCATTCTGGCCCAGAATTGGGTATCAGAGCCTGGGAAGAGTACAGAATGTATCCATGTGAAGAGTGCTGTCACATACGGTGTTGGAGCCTGAGTAGGTTGAGGAGGATGTTCACATAGAATAGTCGGGTACCAGGTGTGAAGAGTGTGGAGGGTGCTTACACAGCTGTATAGTCAAGTGCAGGGTGTCAGAGACCAGAGTAAAGAGGATGTCCATGTGGAGGGGCAGCTCAGTGCAGAATAAGGAGGGTATCCACACAGGTGGAGTCTTTGGGCAGTGCTAACAGTTAATGTGCTCAGCTGCTAGCTGAAAGATTAGAGGTTTGAATCTACTCAGAGGCACCTCAAAAGAAAGCCCTGGTAATCTACTTCACAAAAATCAATCATTAAAACCCCTACTCTTGTACACATGAGGTTGCTGAGTTGGACTCAACTTGATGGCAACTGGTTTTTTCCACGTAAGTGGGAGAGGCGATTGGCACATGGTTGGAATCTGTGGGTGCCCATGCAGGAGGACAGCTTTGTTCTGGGTATCAGAGGCCTGGAAAGGTGAAGATGGCTTTTACATGGCAGAGTTGCCTAGTGCAGTATATGAGGAGACCATTCACATGGAAGTTTGGCAGCCCAGCATAGGGTGTTGGAACCTGAGTGGAGTAAGGAGGATATCTCTTGGGAGAGAGTGGTGGCAGTAATGGGATATTGGTTACACACAGGGGAATTGATCAAATAAGTAAATATTTGAAGGGTAGTGGAAGTAAAGTTTCTTACTGTTACAGAACAAAATAACAAATATAGAAAAGATGTAAATTAGAATGAACTCTGTGGTGATGAATTGAGATTGGAGATATCACTGTGATCTTGTATATTTAATATATATAGAAATAAATTTAGATGTAAAGGTGTGTGTGATATATGTACATATATATATGCACATATTTCTATACATATATTCTCTAGCTCTGTCCATGAGAAGATGTGGGAGCAGGAAACCCCAATATCTAGCATCCAGATATTGGTTTCCAAAAGTCATTCTTCATTAAAAGGAACCAGGGCTGATTCCAAGGACTGGGGCAGAGAAAAGACAATATATGCTTTGAACATCTTTTTTGTGCCAGAAAGAATGAAAATGCTCAAAGAATGGTGGTGACATATTGAAAGGACACGAAAGCTAACTTGAGGGTGTTCTTATTGGCCAAATCTGGGACAGTTTGAGTGTCAAAGTAAATAATGATAGAAACAGATTATAAGAGTTTTAATATACCCATTGAATAAAACAGGAAATCATGTATCAGTATATGTACAGATATGCATCGCTTAACATCTGTTCAGACAATGTCCAACTGTGGTCACATAAGGTTTTTGTTTTTTTAAAGAAAAGCAGCTCTCCTTTTGTTATTTCCCTCTAATGGTTTTAAAGACCCCCAAACCCAGATTCTTGCAGCACTGAACCATGAGTGGGATACAAGCAAGTGAAGCAGAGGACCCGGCCCTGGGTGCAGGCCTTTGGACTTTGTCCAGCAGGCAGGCAGGCAGCAGCAGCGGTGGCACGGGGCACCTTCCACTCTCTCCATGCTCGCTTCCTCTTGTTCTGCTCCTGCCACTGCCTCTGGCTTCTGCCAGCATTTGCAGCAACAGCAGCAGCAATGGCAGCAGCAGCAGCAGCAGCAAGGACAACTGGAAGTGGGTTCCCATAAAGCTTTAATACGGTGTTTGCAAAAGATTCAAATCACATAACATCCTATTTCACAGAACGTGTTGTGGACATTAAGTGACACATTCCTCTGTGTGTGTGTGTGTATTTCTCTATCGTGGATGTTTTATATAAATGGAATCATGCAATCATGTATCTGGTGCTTTTTCATTTAGCATAATGTTTTCATGTTCTTTCTGTTGTAGCATGAAGTACTTCTTTTTTTTAATGCATTTTTTTGAAATATAATTTATGTACAGTTAAATACACAAAACTAAAGTGACATGGGTCAATGCAATTTTTTTTTTGCAGTGTTCCCTCCTGCAAAAACGACAAGGAGGCCACATGTTCTGACCTCCTCTAATCCCGCAAGAGGAAGACAGGGTTACCAGCAGTAACCCAAGGCCTATTACTGCCAGGCCAGACATGCTGCCTCCCTCCAGTCCTTTCTCCAACCGTTCCTCCCAGAGCACCCACCACCTCTCTCCTGGGTTCGATAATTC